ACATGGACTTCATTTGACTACGGAAAGATATGGGTCAACAGCATGATGTGGCTGTATTAAGAAGGAGGTTAGTGACCTGAAAAAGGAAAGTAATCTTTCTACCTTATGTAATGTACACTAGTTAGACAATACTCGGTGTGTTGTATTCAGGCTAGGGACCAAGTTTAGGAAAGATATTGATAAATTGGAATTGGTCACTAAGGGAAGGAAGGAAAAGGAAGGGCCAAATTTAATAGACCAAAAAAAATAAAATAAAATAAAAACCAACCCAACTATGTTCTTTAAAGAATGGTTCAAGAAAAATAAGGATATTGAGCTGCCTTTTACGGTTACCAGATGGAAGAGGAAATAAACTTGTCTATTTTGCTCTGAAAGACAGAAACAGGATTAATGAGAGGGTTCATGGAAACAGATTTTGGCTCAATCAAAGGAAAAATTTTTAAATAATTAAAGCAGTTCAGTGACGAAAAGCACTGTTTCATTAAATTGTGAGCTTCCTGTCACTGGAAATATTCAAGCTAAGGCTGGATAAATGTCTGACTAGGATTCGGAAGGCTCCCAGCATCGAACAAGAGCTTAGGGTAGGTGACCTTTAATTTAGGATCACTCCTAACTCCCATAGTCTGTGATTTAAATAAGCATGAATGCCAAGGCCGCTTAGGACATGCCAGAGCCACTTTGGACATGCCAGAGCCACTTTTTCAACTCTTGGCTCTGCTTCCAAGACCAGCTGTGTGACCTTCAGCTAAGAAATTAACCATTTCTTCTTCCAATTTCCTCATCCATAAAATGAGGAAGCTGGATTTAACAATGTCTAAATTCTCCCCAGCACATCTGTCTCCTTAAGCATCCTGGTAACGATAGCATGTGGGAAAAGTAGAGTTTGGGCTGATAGCTGCCGTCTTTCCAAGTCGGCTTGCAGGAAGAAAGCTTTTCAGGTCCAAAAATCATTGTTGATTCTGGGGGCCATTGAAATAAACTCTCAATTGCTTGTTGGCAGGAGCCGTGGGTGAATGTGATCCTAGAATTTGTTCCCTTGAGATCTGTGGCAGGAAGTAGATCGAATAGCTGATAATCTGGTTCCTCTCAAACACCTGTACCTTCTGGCTAAGTTCAGCAATGCCTTTGCAAACAACTTAGAAGAAATGAAGATCACGTTACCATTGCAATATAGGTCAGTTTTTTGCAAAGCAAACCTTTGTTCTGCATTTCCTTAATGATCTGGCAGTTGCTGTCGAACTTTGTTTATAATCATAAGAACCAGTGTCCATGAAGCAACTTACCATGTGACAGATACTGTTCTTAAAGTTTCATATAAATTAATTTGATCAGTTTATAAGCTGAAAATCTACTCATGAATTAGTTGATTAGGTCCTTTGTCCCCTGTGGAAAAGTAGTAGTTAAAATCCATAAAGCCTGTCTTAATGGTAGAGCCCAGAATTCAGATCCATGCCCTCCTTCTTTTAGGCTCCACTGCTGATGTGCAATTGCTAGAATTTTCTCTGTGGTTCATTTGATTACTAATACTTTTCTTCTCTGCCTGTTTTAAGGTCCCTCATTCTCCACCCCTACAACATTTTCGGTCTTCTATTTCTTCTTTGACTTCTCTCTGACTCGCTCAGCATTGTCTCAAATCCCATTTCTTCAGTTATTTTCATCCAAAGATCTTTGAAAATGCAACCATCAGTGGGAATATTGTTTGTTCTGATATAGACACAGATATAGAAAGTATGGACAGGATTTCAAATTCCTCCAGTTGCTGAGGTCAGCGGGGGAAGCAATAAGTACATTTATGCTTCGTGTAAAGACATGAAGAATTTAAAACTTCATTCCCAGGCTCGCGGGTCTGGCAATATTCACTCCATCCAAGTACCACATTTTCTTTCATCTCTTGCTTTCCTTAGATTGGAAATGAAAACAGCTCTTAAAAATAAGAGCACATGATTCAATCTTGAATCTCAACGTAGTAATTACAGTTTCCATCTCAGTTGGTAAAGTCCCTCCCGTTGTACTGAGCTCCGTCTGTATCACAGCCCCCTTGTCAGTTTTATACCAGACCTTAATTTTTGTTTTCCAAACCTCGAAGACTAAACACTAAATCAATCGCCAAACCAGAAAAAAATAACAAGGAAGAAAATACTTCAATTTAAAAACTTCATTCTTGGGACAGGCCCTTTTTGTCTGATTTCGATTTTGATCCAATCTCTATGTTGATATTAGAAATGTCAGTTACTGTTCCACGTTTTTGAATATGGGGCTTCTGGGCTTCACAGTATCCCCACTGTGAAGAATTTTGCTTGAACCCTTATAGAGGCTGTGCCTTGAATTTTATTTTCTCTTTTCCAAGTTCCGGAGGCCTATGACCTAATAAGCCAATCTCAAAAGAGTCATCTGCACCCTATTCATTGATTGTCACCTTTCAGAGAAGACTGATCCTCTTTTAGTGCTGCTCAGTCCCCCATATCAACCATTCAGTCCTTGACTTGAGCAAGCCCACTATTTAAAGCTATGAAGGCCCCCCAGTGAATCAACTGACCAATATAAGATTGCCCTATAAATGCAGATCACATGCTATCAGCAACAGAATTTTGTGTCCTATTGGGGAAGAAGCAGGAGACAAGAGACTAGGCCTTTTCAATCATCACTTCACTTGGCCCACTTTATATCCCCTCTCTACAATTTGATTTCTTTATTGTTAGATGATAGTATTTCTATATCTATATTAAGATATCTATAATTCTGTTATCATTGAATCCTCCCAGAGCTACTTTTATGTGTTGGAAGTTGTCTTGGTCAGTTTGGGCTGCTATAACAAAAATACCATAGTCTTTTTTTTTTTTTTTTAAGATTTTATTGGGGAATTGGAGGAGGAGAACAGCGCTGGGGAATTGGGGGAAGAGGAACAGACAAGTTGCTGTCCTTTTGTTCTTCAGTCCAGTTGTGGAGGACGTCGCTTCACTGGCCCAT